CTCCTGTACACACCTCAGCCAGCTCAACCCAGTTTCAAGTACTGTGCCCCACTGCTTAATTCATAAAATTGATTTCAACTCCCCATTTTTCACACAACTACCCAGTGGAATGCATAAAAATTGAAAAAAGAGATACCAGTTGTTTAAGGGCCTTCATAAAGATATGGTTGGTGTTTGCTGTGCACCGCAGAAGTGTTATCAGTGTTTGGAAGCTTTTTTTTTGGATTTCATTTTTTACCACTTATTTTTCATGTTTTAAAATGTGTAGAATTTTATGGTAAAAACCATTTTCCATAAAAACCAACTGTTTTTTTTTGAATAAGGCAATTAGACCCTTTTTTTGAATTAATTTTATTAGAGCATAAATCTTCTTATTTTTTGACATTTTCCACTTGTTTTCCTACACTTTTAGGGAAGCATAAGATTATGGTAACAATCATTTTACATCAACATGAAATTTTTTCTTGAATAATGCATTTGACAAGTTTTTTTGGACTGATTTCTACAGGCTTAAATTTCATTATTTTTTGAAATTTTAAATTCATTTCCTACATTTTCAAAGGTTTAGAAATTTATGCTTATATATTTTTTGCAAACAAATAAAAACGGTATACCATACAAATGATGTAAGAAACTGGGTAAGCTCATATATTACTGTTGAAACTTTGATCTTTGTTAAAATCAATGATACCATGTTAAAATCAATGATACCATGGAGCTTTAAACCTCTCAAAATGTAGGAAATGAATTTAAAATTCCAAAAAATAATGAAAATTAGGCCTTTAAAAATTAATTTAAAAACAAATGTCAAACACAATATTCAAGACCAATTTTTTATTTTCATTCAAAGTGACCATTACCTTAATTTTATAAATGTCTTCAAGTGTGGGAAAAAAATTTAACATGTCAAAAAATTTTGAGAAATAAGTTGTAAGAAATTGTTTGAAAAAATGTGTTTAATTGCAATTTTCAAAGAGATCTGTTGATTTCTACAGAAATTGAATGATGCCATAAACTTTTATGCATTTCAAAACCTAGGGAATCAATTTAAATTTTTGAAAAAAGATGAAAAATAAGGTATAAAAAATTATATACAAAAAAACACGTCCAAACTTGTAATCCAAATCTGCTGTGCGCTGCAATTGTTTGTGGGATAAAACTCTATAATCAATTTGAGCAAGATGAAAACTTGTGACCCATTTCAATATCAGTTGGTATTCAATTGTTTACAAATAGTTAATCAAGTGGTAATTTCAATAAAAATTGAAATGTACCATTTGACTTTGACTGCTACAGAAAAAAAAGTTAATTCCTGGGGCAAAGATGTGATGAGGATTGAATTCATAATTTCATACCTGAAGAAAATATATGAAATAGTTATTTGTTCGCCACACTAGACAGCTGAATGTTAGGCTTATACAATATACATAAATCAAGAATGCTAATTTGTTTTATTCCAAATGAGTATCATTTATGTGTTCCTCTTGTTGTAAAATATCTTCCTCCTGCTGTTCCTCTACACTACTAAACTCAAACACTATAGAAGTACCCATTGTTATTTTCTGCCATGTGTTATGGGCTTCAGTAACTAATCTGGTCCATTGATGTTGGATATTTTCATCATTTGCTTGGTGGTCTTGATGATATTGTTGACTCCAGTTGAGTAGCTCAAAGCAGCTGGCGTTCCATGTCATCAAAACTCGACTGTGACTTTTGGCGAGTGAGCAGTAGACAGACTTCAGAACAGCATGAGGAATGTTATGCTTGGAGCAGATTTGGGTTAAAAAATTGCTTCCTTCACCAGATTGCTGGTTTGCTGCAGAGTATTTTTTTTAGTTCAAATGAATGGGCCAAAAAGAATTAGGTGAGTAATCTGTGATATTTTGCTTTAAAGGAAAATGCTGACCTGGGTCTAACAAGTCATAAAGATTTTCCAGAGAGTTTGACCTATCAATAGCCCACTTGACTGCTTGTCTGGCCTCTCGTGAAATCCTTCGCAGCTCGTCTTTGCAATGGGTGGATGTAAGGAGTGCATCAATCCCTTCTCGCACATTTGGATCAATTGCCCAAGGCTCATTTGGATGCAAAAGAGAACCCATATCCCAAAAATGATCATCCAGGCCCATTGACTTGATTTCTTCCAATGTAGGTGTTCCAACGTCGATCTCTGGCATATAGTTTTCATTGTAGATGGTGGCTCGGTTGCAGTATGATGTCCACTTGCTCTTCAGAAGCTTGACCTTGGAACTCATCAATTTCTTGAACCTAGCTTGCATGCGTGTACCTGTTTCCTTGTCAAACAATATCAGAGGTTAAAGAGGCCAAATAAATACTTGCAATTCTAAAGACACACCTGATCCCCTTTGATCCCATCTCTTCTGGACTTCCAAAACCCCCACTTTGGCCTCGTATAGTTTGGATTTGCTCACTTTCAACCTTATTAGAGCCTTTGTCTCTGCATCTGTCTCAAAATTAATGTTAATGGAAGGGTGGCTATTTGTATGTAGTGATGCTTGGGTCAGTATAAACTCACCAGAGGCTCCTGGAAGACCTCGAAATGCTTCAGATCCAAGCTCACTGATAACCTGATCAATTTGTTCCTCCAACGATACAACTGTGTCTGGTAGTCCATGAAGCTGCCTTTGTTCCTCACTGGTTCGATCACGCCTACGTTTGGCTCTTAATGATACAATTGTGTCACTACAATAAATTCTGTGTATCAGCTTCAATTATACTGCGGATTCTGAGGAAAAAAATTTACTGTGTATCCCAAAGTTGGTCTTCCAACTCAACAAGTTCCTCAACTTGTTTCATCATATCTCTTTCAGACTCAGTCTCCATCACCGATAGTTGACACTCTCTTTGTCGGATCCATTGGTCAGCCAAGTAAACTGTGGAGTGACCAAAATCCTCTTCGATTTCCTTAAGTTTTTCAAGGGCAGTTTTCATTGCTTCTTCCACCTGTTTACCACGATCTAAGAGCAATCTGACTGGAATTTTTTTTCATCAAACAAGTTGTATTTTATTTCAAATACCGGAATGACATACCTGAATTTGTTTTACCAGTATCATTGTGATGGGAAGACCGTAGATCTAATGCCACAAGTCTATGAGTCTTGGTCGAATACCTTAGGGAGCTGATCAGAGGAGATAAATAAGCCCAAATCCGCTCCATTCCTTCACCATCCGACATCCCCCATCCAGTGTTGAGCCTAGGGTTATATTGCAGCTGACATGACCATTGATGAACATAAGCATGGAAAAAACTTGTTCCAAACATCAACTGGTTTCCCTGGCGTTCTTCACTAAATAAATTTTGCTAAATGCACTTGAATCAGTCTAATAGTGGCCACTTTAGTAGGGAGACAACAGGGAATCCTTACTTTATTAATTCCCTTTTCCATATTACAGCCTATATCGTACAAGAAGCCAATTTTTTTTCTATTCTCTCCATCCTGTGTGGTTGTGAGAAGATTTTTGATCATGGTCATTGGGAAATATGCCCTTTTAAATCAAGAATCAGATTGACTATTTCAAAACATAAATTAATACACATGTCTGGCTTACTTTTCACCACTTTGAACTATGTTGATTAGCCTCAAGATTTGGTCATGACGACATGCCAACCCAAAGATGCCAGTGTCATCACAAGCCTTCCATGTTGCAGCCCCCCTGGTATCATTGGCTGCTGTGTGTTGTTCAGTACATCGGTCCTACAAGGACATAAAATTATATCATTCATTGGATTTCATATTGTTTAAACATGATGTAACTTACTAAGGTTTCATCTGCTGCCAATGTGTTTCAACTGGTTACCATACTCAATTCCATTTCCTGAACCTCCGCCGGAGAAATGAAGAGCGTGGTAGGCTTGCGAGATTGATGAAGTTCTTGGCTGGCTGAAAGGTGTCTACGATGTTGAAAATTTCCGTCCATGCATAAAATATAATCTGGCTCGTCCGGTGTCTTTCCGGGAACTGGGGGGCCAAAGCACTTTGGACAAATATTCGCAAGTTTATCCATAGGTCCCATCTGTAAGAGCTCTTCCAATATGATCTGTCCTCGCCTGATCATCTCCCGGTATGCATCAATTGCTGCGGAGATGGTTTGCCTCCATTGTCTGGTCTTAAATCACATAATTGTTTGGAATTAGTATTCATCCTTATGATTCTCACACTGATTATCAGAATAGTCTCTCACAGTATAACAGCTTTCAGATTGCAAAGTCGGTGGTGATACAAGAATGAGAGGGTTATTTGAATCCAGGAACTCGTCCAGAGCTTTTGAAAAAGGTGTGATTGATACTGCACAGTGTTTCCAGATGATATGATGGAATCTCAAGAGTCGTATGGAAAATGCGGTTCTGGGGAATTTTGGTGATCCTCCGATATAACCCATCCTGATAAGGCGGACCTGGTCTGACTGGCATTTGCAAAATGTGACTTCGGTTTGTGTTCTGCCTAGAAAGCATGGATGGGGTTCAGTATACAGATGACATGTTTACACACCGAGTTCATCTTGGTCATGCATTTGATGAAAACTTACTGTACATATCTACCAAGACCACTGGTCTTGATCGAAGATTATTACAATTACAGGGCTCATTCCAATCATGGTTCCATAGGTTTGGGTTACCCCATTCGAAGGTTTTGATCGCACACTGCTGGAATGATGAGAACATTTCCTGATATGCTTCTTCCCAATTCTTCTCTTCTAGGATCTTCTTTTGTTTGTAATGTTCACTTTGAAAGTATCGGTGTAGTTGCTGAACACGAGAATTGGTAAGATGATCATTGTCTTGGTGGTCTGATGGTAACCGATCCTGTTGGTGTGCAGATTGGAAGGGGTCCAGACCGTTATTTCCGATGTGGTCAGCTCCAAAGTCAAAGTTGTCCTGACCAGTGGGATCAATGGTTTGGTTGTTGTTTTCTTGAGCTGATGAGTCTTCATTGGGATGATCGGTTGGGTGTATATCATTGGCTGGTTGCGCCAATGGGGTCTGAAGGATATGTTGATGTTCCAGCTGGACAGCTTGACTGAAGGAGACACCGGCTTCGGTTTTTGGTTTACGGATCTGTTTCCTTCTTTTTCCGCCATCACCTTCGAATAAGGGCATCTTCTGATCTGGGCTTTGAGAAATAGTTTAGTTTAAAGATTTTCAATCCATGTGAAACTTGCAAAGACCTGGTGAGTTCCGTCAACAGTATGTATTCAATGGGGATTGAGTCCAAATGCATAGGCGTGATTATGTAATCCTTGGACTTTTGTAAGTAAGTTGATGGCTAAAATCACTGACTTTGATGCCTGTATATGTAATTCAAATGGGGCCATTCAGTAGATAATGCTCTGGCAGTCTTGAAGAGCATTGTCTTATACTGTGCCCAACTGTATGATACCCTTTAGCTGGTAGTGGCTAACTTTTGGGCACTCTCTCTAGACTCTACTAGGGCTTATTTGGCCCCTCTGAGATATTTTTGCAGAAACCATCAATTTTAGAAGGTGTCACCTAACCCCTTGGATATTTCTCCAATTAGTTCCTATCAGTTCGCATTCTCATCTTTGAAGATTGTGTTCAAATTTATGGTATGGAATTTATGCAAAATTCCTGTATGGAAGTTAACTTCTGTTCTATGCTTTATTTCAATGTGTTTGGAGCAGTATGAAAATATCCACATATATGCTACTTTGATTAATGTTGGGGAAATTATCAATTATTGTGTATATCAATTGCAAACTGAATGGCTAGCCAGCAGGTTGAATCTCACATGGTTAATAAATCTGGGGTCCTGGATGAAATCTAGATGCAGTCCAAGAAGTGAGCCAACATCAGATTTATATTCTTTGGGTCAGTTGATATCTTTGATCTCAACATCAATCATTTAGGTAGTCATTAGAATAATTTTGTATGGTTTCACCTACAGGGTTTAATACAAGATGTCATGGGTACAGGGTTTAATACAAGATGTCATGGGGAGTGAGGGGAGGCTGCTGTGCAACTGTGGTCAGTTATCAAATGTAGGTTGACTGCATCCACAAAGTGGCTTTACTGCTTCCAAAAAACTTCATTGAGGATGTGTGGCCAAGATAATGACCATTTGAATTGCAGTGATGAAGTTGAATGGGCACCAGGTAAACCACTGTCTATCACCATCCAAAAGATTGGAGGTAAAGGGGTCTGTCTTATATGAGTGACTGAATTATGTGATGTTCATTTGTGGTTTTGTAGGAAAACATCAACAACTGGTAATATTTCTTTCTTCCCCTCTGGGATAGTGCTTCCACACATACAATCACATAGTTTGGTGATAGGCAAAAGATTTGAATCAAGTCTGGGTGAAAGGCAAGCTGTGGTGTTCTTAGTGGAAAGTCATTCTGCCACAACTGGTGATTGCAAATTCCTTATTCATTGGTTCATTCACATTGCTTTCAATTATTATTTGAAAATTATTATTTGAAATGGAAGGTGAAATCTAAATTTGCATTGGTGACTGGGTTGTTATTTTAAAACAACACATATGATGGTCACTACTTTGTGAATGTACTTTGACACAATCCTTGTTGATTGCTCTTGAAGAACAGCTATTTGTTTAATTATAGATCACTTGTCACCACACCACTGATTCACCAACTGATTCACCACCCCCCTATTCACTTGACACTGGTCACATTTGAAAAACTTGTATATACAACTTGTCATATCCCTACAACATATGTTCCAGTCCCTAGTGCTGATATTGCAGATTGCCTAGGTATTGGTTATACCTTCAAATACTTACATTCTTGGGGGTTTTCATAATACATTGGTTTCATTGTAAGAACAATGGAACCAATGGGGATTAACTAGTGGTTTAAGATGTGTGTATACCCAAAATAATGCATACTTTTGTCAACACCTGTGATATCAAGCTACTGACTGTTTTTTATACCATCTTGAGGGAACCTGGTTTTTTCAATTATATTAACATGTTATACATTGGTATTCAAAGACTTGTGCCAAGCCACCAAGACCAGCTAATAACAAGGATTAAGTGATCAATAAGCCATTCAAGCCAAAGGAAGCAGCTTTCATTCCTGTAGAAGAACATAGAATCCAAAGTGCCTCAATATCCTTGGCAAACTGGACCACAGCCACTGGACCCACCCACCCCTCATCACTTGATCCTTCCTTGCAATCTTGACCTCATCATCAACAAATCCCTCAGGCCACTTGGCAGCCACTTGGCAACCAAGTGGCTGCCAAGTGGGTACCAGGATGTATTCTTTATGTTGGGCTGCCACTCATAAATGTGTCAGCCCAACACCCATAGGAGTAAAAACCAGAGACCACACCTTTTCTATCTTGAGTGCCCCTCATCTGACTATGTATTCTTTGTGTTGGGCTGACACTCATTCTTTAGTCAGCCTCCTATCAAAGCATTTGAGGATGCTTGCTTTCTCAGTGAGCTTTACTCTTCTTAACCTGTACTTTCCAAGTGTCACTCTTTGCTTCTTGCTGGCTGAGGGCTCAGTAAGTAATACTTTCCTCTTGGAAGCATTCAATCTAACTGCTGCCTTGACATTGTTGATTACTTTTTCATTGGCATTTATGAGCTGGCCTGCTTCAATAGCTGAAAGCCAATCTTACATGCTCTGAATATTCAATAGTCTGTAGTTTGGGTAGTCAGGGTTCATCTATCTCTAATTCCAATGCTTGTTCAGGATTTGCTTTCTGTGGTATCTTGTCAAGTGATTCCGGTGAGAGCACACTAAGATTAGCAGAGGCTATTTGTTCAACCACTGGTTCTTCTTTCAGCCCAACACCCCCCACTCAATAATCCACCTTGGTGATCCTGGCTCAACAATTGCCTTGTTTTCTTTTATTATGGGCTGGGATCACCGATGGTCAGCCAAAAACTCCCTGAGAGCACACTAAGATTAGCAGAGGCTATTTGTTCAATAACTCGTTCATCTGTCAGCCCAACACCCCCCACTCAATAATCCACCTTGGTGATCCTGGCTCAACAATTGCCTTGTTTTTTTTTTATTATGGGCTGGGCTGGGATCACCGATGGTCAGCCAAAAACTCCCCCTCGGCAATACAATCCACCCAAACTATCTACTTTGGGGAATATGAGTCCCACGCTCGCCTCAGCTTCCCACTTGGCAGCCACTACTTAGCTGCCAAACCTCCCGCTTCAGTCTCAACACCCTAAAAACAAAATCGGCCCAGTAGCACCTTCAAGGCTGATAGGATCTAGGTGGTGAGTCCCCCCCCCCTATTGGATTGTTTGCTACGACTCTAGGTGCTGTTGGGCTGACCATGCCTTGTCCGACAGGCCAACAGCACAATACCAAATCGATTGACCATAGCAATAGTTTTTAACCTCAAAGGTGAGTCCCCCTCCCCTTGCAAATGGCTACTTTGCCCACTTGGCAGCCGAGTGCGTGCCAAGTGGGCACCTACAACTGTCAGTGCTGTTGGGCTGACCTGTCCCTTTCAACAGCCTCGAAAAAATATTGCCTACTGTTTTTGACCCCGCCGATCTGATTTAAACAGAGGTGAGCCCCCCCCCCCGGCTTTGATCTCACTCGCCCACTTGGCAGCCAACTGGCTGCCAAGTGGGCATGTTCCCTTGTTCTAGGCTGATGGGTGGGCTGACTGTCCATTTCCACAGTTCCAAAAAACGATCGCCGACCGTTTTTGACCCCGCCGATCCGAATTAAACAAAGGTGAGCCCCCCCGGCTTTGATCTCATTCGCCCACTTGGCAGCCAACTGGCTGCCAAGTGGGCATGTTCCCTTGTTCGAGGCTGATGGGTGGGCTGACTGTCCCTTTCCACAGTTCCAAAAAACGATCGCCGACGTTTGACCCCGCCGACCCGGTTTAAAACGGAGGTGAGTCCTCCCCACCCTGTGTTGATCTCACTCGCCCACTTGGCAGCCAACTGGCTGCCAAGTGGGCATGGTCCCTTTTTCTTGGCTGATGGGTGGGCTCACTGTCCCTTTCCACAGCCGCAGAAAACAATCGCCAACGTTATTCAACCTGCCGATCCGATTTAAAACGATCGCCGACGTTTGACCCCGCCGACCCGGTTTAAAACGGAGGTGAGTCCTCCCCACCCTGTGTTGATCTCACTCGCCCACTTGGCAGCCAACTGGCTGCCAAGTGGGCATGGTCCCTTTTTTCTTGGCTGATGGGTGGGCTCACTGTCCCTTTCCACAGCCGCAGAACACAATCGCCGACATTATTCAACCCGCCGATCCGATTTAAAACGATCGCCGACCGTTTTTGACCCCGCCGATCCGAATTAAACAAAGGTGAGCCCCCCCGGCTTTGATCTCATTCGCCCACTTGGCAGCCAACTGGCTGCCAAGTGGGCATGTTCCCTTGTTCGAGGCTGATGGGTGGGCTGACTGTCCCTTTCCACAGTTCCAAAAAACGATCGCCGACGTTTGACCCCGCCGACCCGGTTTAAAACGGAGGTGAGTCCTCCCCACCCTGTGTTGATCTCACTCGCCCACTTGGCAGCCAACTGGCTGCCAAGTGGGCATCGAC